TTGCCTGTGTGGTAGCATCAAAAAACTATCCCTTTGCTAGTCTCTCCAGAAGCCCTTACATTTCAAATGATTAAACTAAGCCTCTCCAGAAGGGCTCCCCTAATAGCCTGTCATTAGGTCTCATTTAAGATATATATTATCTTAAGATCTCTGGCCATGTGCCATCCCAAATTTCCTTTCTAGGCATGTAAATCTCAGCACTGCTTTGCTCTCTCCTGTCTTGTAAATTCTGAGAGTGACAACTCAGGTCACACCAGTACAAAAAGCTCTAGTCCTTTATACTTATTCCTGGGCCAATACAAACAGGTAAATGAGAGCAGTCAATATGCTCCTAAGCAAATGAAATAATAGTCAAGGAAGGGTAGTTCACTTCACAACAGGAGTTTATGGACTCCCAGAACGGAACGACAAGACAGAAAGGCAATAGCCCATAAAGATTTCTGGAAATTTGTTCAGACCCAGTTAGTCCACAGTGAAAGACAGAAAGATCAAGGTCTCTCTCATATGTAAGACTTTAAGATTATAAAGCAGGAAGTTCATGCTGAGGTGGATATTAAAAATCACACACTTGTGCTTATTTGGAAACAGTCAGTTGGAAGATTGTGCAGGAATTGGGCTAATCTGGCAATGATCCCTCGTGTAGAATGCTGGGGACATATTTCTCAATTGATCAAATTTCTATGGGCATCAGACAGTCTTCTGTTGCTGCCCTATCAAATAGCAACTCAAATTCCAAGTATGCCAAAGTCTTTATGGTGCTGCATTAACATTTTAAAGTCCATTGGAACATTCATGACTCTAATTACAAAATTCCCATTGCCAGGGTTTCAGGCTTTCAAACAGCAGAATCTAGAACCTCTGAGTCCCCCTGTAGTCACCTATATGCACCTGAGCAGAAGGAATTACAAACTTTCTTACTTATCAATATGTGGGAATTACCAAAATACTCTGCCTGGTATGTACTTCTGTGACTTCTATAGAGTGAACACAGCACATGTAAATTTAAGCCAGAAATTACTAAATGAGAATTGCTAGGTACAACATAAAGTCTATTGTGATGTGAGGAGGGAATGCTCATATGTGTGTGTGTGTGTGTGTGTGTGTGTGTGTGTGTGTGTGTGTGTGTGTGTATGTATGCAGATTCAAGTAGTTTGCTATCACCTTCATTAGCCAGGTTAGTAAGATTTTAACAGCTCAGTAATGCATATTTCCTACAGAATGAGTTCATTTCCATCAACTCAAGGAAAACACATCACTTCAGTTTTCTACTTTCTAGAGCAGTCCCTCTCCAAAGTACTAATGTGTCGGCCTGGCCAATTGAATTAGCTTAGAGGGGCAGAGGCATAAATCCTTACACTTAATCCAAGCATCTAAATTGCATAGGTCAAAAAACTTGACCTGGTCTTCACATTTCATAATTTATTTCTACCAATCTAGATTTATGCTAGATCAAACTATTTCAAATTGATTCAAAATGCATTTAAATATATTTCCCCAACAGTAGCAGATATTCTTATTTGATTAGAATAAAAATCTCAACAAGAAAATGTAGTCAGAGGTTTTCCTGTGTCCCACCCTGCCAGTAGTCAGGAAATATCTCTCCCACTTGCATCCCCCAAGTAAACATACAGAGGCTTATATTAATTATAATTGCTCAGCCATTACCTCAGGTTTATTACTGACTAGCTCTTACACTTAAACTCAGCCCATTTCTATTAATCTATGTCTCCTCTACCTCTGCCTTTCTTCTTCCTGTCTCTCTCGGATTTCTTGCCTGGCTATATCCTGACTCTCCATAGGTCAAAGTAGCTTCTTTATTAACCAATTATAGCAACATATATTCAGAGCATTCAGAAAGACATCCCATAGTACTTCCCCCTTTCTGTCTAATCAATAAGGAATGTTTTAACTTTAACATAGTAAAATTACATATAACAAAACAATTATCAAGCAAGAATTACAGTTACAATATCTAGTCTAAATGTATTTGGCAAAATTAAATATTCTATCATTGATCCTATATTTGTGAGTATAAAGTTTCATATCTAATTTATCTTTTATCATGACTAAGGAAAATCATAATTATAACTATCTAGTCTTCAACTACATCAAAGACCCCAGAAGGATATAATATTACCTAAGTAAACAGGAAATGAATTGTAAGTAAATTCCAAATTTCTGGAAATGACAGATAGCTGTCTGCCTGGACAGTCATCCAAAGTTCCTCTGTAATGTTGGGGCATCCATCTTCAGCCTATAGGTTTAGGGTCTCTCAGTTGCTTCTCTCTGTGTCCTGTAGAATATCAGACAGTCTCCTCTATGAAACAAGAACCTCAAGGAGCATTTCGCCTTGTTTTGGCAAATTCAGTGATCGTTTTCCTATGGGTCCTGTATGTCCAGTTTGTACAACCTATCAGCAGTCCAGGCAAGAACAGTTTCTTGCCCAAATGGCTATTTTTTGCCAAGAAGAATATAAACTCCATATGGAATGTCTCTGATGCCCATCTTTCTCTTTGAAGTAAGTTGGTGCTACCAGGAGCAGACATGTCTCATTGTCCAGAAAAGTGTAAGTTTTTAAAACATTTTAAATGCCATATTCTGTAGGTCTTTGAAGTGTTTGAAGATTACCTACCTAATTGAACTATATCTATATATACCTAGAAAACTTAACTAACATAACTGTAAGTTTGACTGTCATAGAAGACTAATTATAATCTGTATTTCTTAATTATCCATTACAATTTAAATGAGTTACATAAACATAATCCATAAATGAGTTACATAAAACATAATCCATATATATATATATATATATAAACAAAATTAACTTTAAATTTGTAATGTGCAAAAATCTATAGCAATGTACACCATTTTAAACAAGTTGCTGCTCTTTAAACATAGATTCAATAATCTACCCTTTATCCTATCATATCTAATACTGTCTTATCCCCCTTTTTTTAAAAAAAAGATATTGACTATGGCCAATAACAATTTGTAACCAATCTCTAAACAAAGACAAATAGCCATAATCCAGTTTTTGGGAATGTGGGCATAGTTTTCTATGCTACTTTCTGCTTATTGTGGGCACTGATAGTCTTATAGGGATCCTGAGAAAATTTGAGATAATGGTCAAGTCCTCGGAAGACCGGCTATAACCTTTGTTGATAGGTACAATCTGTTAAGGTTCAGGAGGTCTGGTTTCATCAAGTATGATCCATCTTAACCTGGAATAAATCCACAGCCTCTTGCCTTCTGTGGAAACAAAACCGAGCCTCCTTTCCCAAGCAACATATCCTTGGATCCAAATTTTGAAGTCAAGACACCTTTAAAATACATATATTGGCTTAACTTAGCAGCCTTTATAATCAAATGTCTCTCTGCAGTTAAAACAGAAAGATATCCCACAGCAAGAAAAGGGTTTTAAATGGGTGGTAAAGATAAATATATCAAAATATATCAAAGGAATTTGTGTACTTGGATATATAACAACTAGTTTGTCTGTCTTATACTTTGAATGGATCTTTGAAACAGTCATTATTTTATACCATTGTGCACTTGAGCATTTAGAACTTATGGATGCCCTCTGTTGTATTAATCTTTCAAATGACAGTACTTTTCATTACAAAATAATGTAAAGATAGTTTTAAAATACCACCACATATCTGACAGATTGATCAGGAATGCCTTTTAAAGAATCAGTAAACTGTCATGCATACTGTGGGGAAGGGAGGCAGGGAGTCCAATTTTTTAAAAACTTCAGTTTTTATCATTGACAACAAATTTCTGCCCATTTTCTCTAAGGAAATGTCAAGAAACCATCACAGTATTTACTTTTTCTTTGAAGTGAAAATGGGCTTCTGGAAAAAGCAGGCAGCTAGTTCATCTCACAACCACTTACACTTGTGCTGTTCTTCCAGTCAACCACCATACTGCAGGATAATGGTGCTTACTACAGTTCCCATTTTTATGACACAAATTTAGAAAGGCAATGCACCCAAAGTTTGATAGTTAGTTAAACTAATACTTATTTCTCTACTTTATCAGGAGTAGTCTTAACTGCAACTAATTTGTTGTTGTAAATGCCCATTTTTTCAGTGAAAAGGCAAAATCTAGTATAGCTTAGTGTCACTTGTGTGAACCGCACTTGGGGTCCAGTAATTTTACCTACTGTGGCTATTATACTGTACATGCAGATGGCAGCTCACAGAAAGGGCCAATATAAAAGATCTCCCCCCACACAGATTCCTTAATAGTTCTTAGAATAGCTATGGGACTATAGATGACCCTTCCTTCATGTCACTGTTCTACTTTCATTTTTCCCCACTGCCTTTAAAGCCTGCCCCTAGACCCTTATGTCATCTGTTTTTAATATGAAAATATTCCAGCCTGAAAACTGTAGGAAGGGATTCTGTTCATTGCTCCAGTCTTGTCACTTGGTATTGTTTAATATAAGGTACATCTTCATTTAATAATTGCTGAACAGATGAAAGATTTGAGAAAAAAGCTGAATATGGGGTACTGTACAAGGTTCACTAAGAGGTAGCCACTTAGCTCTGCAGCCCATTTCTCCATTGTCTTGGTTCCTGTATGTGTAGGAATGGGTTATATCTCTATTGAAACAGTGGCACTTTCAGAGATAAGCAAAAGCTGCATTTACAGAGCCCCCTCTGCAGGGAGTATTGGCAGAGGTCCTCAAATTGCCTACTAAATGGGAGCTCAGTTGGATACATGAAAATCGTACTCTTTTTCTCGCAAAGGCCATTTCAGTTTTCATTTTAGGATACTTACTATGCTGACCTAATGAGGTCTATTGACAGAGGAAATGGTACCAGGAGGCCCCTCAGGGAGAGAAAGCTGTTCCTGAAGGGCAGGTTGTAGTGAACAGGAATGAGGCATAGCAAATAGCTCTTCTGAGGCACTCTATAGAGAGCCTTGCACATGAGTGTCAGAACTAAAAACAAATCCCACTTTGAAAGGCAGCTATAGAGGTCATAGAAGAAATAGGAGTTGAGTACAAGAGAGACAGTATCCCACAGGGAGTTTTTCTCTTATTATTAGTGGAACATGTCATGTGCATAGGTGCAGTGATCACAGAAAGACTGTTGTATAACATTCACTGTGGTGTAGCACAGTACATGGCTAGTAGTTCAACTGAATAAATGAATTAATGAATAAACCAGTTAGTGCCAAGATATATATGTAACTAACTCAAAGAACATATTTTATGGTATCAGGGCATTCTTATTTTATGTACATACTCCTTACTCCCTTGAGTTTTTGGTTTTTTAGACTGCACTATCATCCTGTGGTAACCTTGTACTCACCCTACTGACTGTGGTCTCCCAGGCCACACTATTCATTCTTACCCTGCCTGGGCCCTGTCTCTACTTACCATAGAAGATATGGGTCTAAATACATACCTTCCATCTTATAGTGTGAAATAAAGGTTAATGATGAAGGCTGCAAAAATGGCTTAGTGGGTAAAGATGTTCATCAACAAGCCTGAAAACCTGAGTTCAGATCCCAGAACCCTCATAGTGAAAGTCAGTTTCTGAAACTTGTCCTTTGCCCTCCACATGTTCATGTGCACATGTACATAGACACACATAGAAAGGGAGGGAAAGGAGACAGAGAATAAATAAATGTTTTATTAAAAAGAAAACAACATGGCTAGGAAGGGGCTGTTCAGACTGGCTAAAGTGTTCCTAAGACATTCAGAGCCTGAAGTAAAGACTTTGTTGGCTCCAGTTTAAATGACATGTTTGATGAGAATATGCATGACAAAATTCACAGGCCCTCCTGAGATGCAGTGATTTCTCAGTCAGCCTGACAGGCAAGAAGGGGCACTGAAATGCTTGCTTGTTGTGCCATCAACACACATGTAGATACTTGAAGGGTTTGGGCTCCACACCTTGCTGCTCACAGCATATCTGTTTATTTATTATTGTTCGCTATGAGTGACTAGCATGGGGCTAGAAGTGTCACTGTGGTCACTCATGCTGCCCAGGCTCCTCAGCACCAACTGATACCAAAACAATTTTTATCTTCTTGTTTCTGCACATCTCTGTGCCATTAACTTCCAAGTAGAGAGCTCTTGGTTATTCCAAGGTATGCATGTCTCTATTATACCTTTAGGGTTATATTGCAATGCTGGTTGTTGGAGTGGCTTATAGACATTATAGCTGGGTAGGACTGTTGGGTGTCGCCTTCTTTTGAAAGTCTGCCTGGCACCTTCATCATCAATAATTAAAGAAAAAGAATTCAAGGAGGGCACTCAGGATTGTTTGGAGGAAAGAAAGGGAAGGGAAAAGGGGAAATTGAACAATCATAATCTCAAAAAATAACTTTAAAAAGTTAATTCAATACTCTTTTAAAGTGCTCAAGTTATCCAAATGTGTCTTCTAGCACTTCGTTTGCCAGCATGCTTATTACAACTGAAACAGGTTATGATTCAGTGGGACTCTAGCAGGTGAAGATATCAAAATACTTGGAGGTCCTGGTTTAAAAAAGAAGAACCAGCAAAAGGAATGGGTTTGCATTTGCAACACTGTATGTTTTTATCTATTCTGTGTAAACCCGATCCTTCATTTCTCGGTCCCAACAGCTGAGTGTGTCATCTCAACAAAGTCCCCAAAATGCTAGAAGCCATTGTAAAAATAGAGGATCTAGGACTATTGTTATTAACTCTGGATAAGGAAAGGGGAAGAAGGAAAATTCGGAGAGACAGAGAGAGAGAGACTAAGGTTGATTTGTGTTTCCTGATTGGTGATAGGTCAAACTTTGACTACATGATGTCCTCACCCTTCATAGCTGTTACTTTTCTATGAAATATGTCATAGAGATCACTAATAATGGCTTGTTTATTGGGGGATTTACATGAATAACAGATATTTTTGAGATGCAACAGTATTTGTATAAAACACATTGAAATTTTTAGTGGTTGACAGGATACATGCTGAGAAGTTTCCAGAATTCACAGAATAAAGGCTTATAAGAGAAAAGAGACAATGAAGGGCATTAAGAATCCTAAATTGAACTGTAAGCTTCAAGAAATCTGAAGTTTCAATCAGAAAATAGCTATAAAGGTCCCCCAGCTGTTAATGCTGGAATTTCCAATATCAGCTATCACACCTTAGAAAACAATACAAGTAAATTACAGTTTTAGCTGCTTTAATACAGAAACTCATCTCAACAGGAAATACCTTGGCTTGATTCCAACCCTGAGAGTTTTGAGCAAACTATTCTTTTACAATTATCCAGCTATCAAGGTCCAAGAAACACTGCACAGCTAAATGATGAAGTCATATCAGCTGGACAAACAGAGGCACAATCATCAACTGGATTGTCAGCTTTGAAATTAACCGTTAGTACTCTAGAGGACTGAAACATGTACTCATTTTTGTATATCTTTCCACACAGTCACAGAGCCAGTGTAGTTCAATGATAATAACTTATTAATTTATGAACTATTTCCTGAAGCTGACTTTGTAATACCATGGGGGTAGATAAGAGAAAGTATCTGGTTTTACATTCAATATATGTAGTAGAAAGATTATACGTGAAGATAATCATAATCAGGTTTGAAGAGTACAAATAGAAGTGAGCAATTATAGAATAATATTGAGATGGCACGGCAAAAATTGAAAATACTGCAAATTACAGAAACAGATAACATTGCTTCAATGTTAAGCAAAATAACGCAAGCACCATATTTCCAAGAAAAAAATTGAAGATTTCTAGTGAAGAAGGCATTTATAGTCTGATTTGAGTCATAGTCTGCCATATTTCCCTTTCTCCCTCCCTGTCTATTGAGGTTTAGGTATGAAATGATCCCACAAAAGGCATATGTATTCAAGTATTGGTCCACAACTGGTCAACCTATTTTGAAGATGCCGGATCATGAGGGCACTTAATTAATCAATGGACTATTTGCAGATGAGGACTGGTTAGCTGGAGAAAGCCACTAGAAATATATCATTGTAGGATACATCTTGTCCTAGATCCTTTCTGTTTGTTCTTTTCTGCTTGTCTGCCATGAGATTAAAAGCTTTTCTTCACCATGATATAGTACCTCCACAGAAGCTCAGAAACATACAACTGAGTGATCATGGGCTGGACTTCCTGAAATAGTGAATCAATATAAATTGTCCCAGATTGGGGATCTTCCACTATGAAAAGGGGGTTGAAACAAACTGCTATTGTCTGCTTCTGGGATACAGTTTATATAAAACACATCTGTGGTGATATTGTGTACCCCAAAATATTGTGCATGCTAATAAACTTATCTGGGTTCAGAGAAGAGAACAGCCACAATATTAAACACAGAGGTTAGGCAGTGGTAGCACACGCCTTTAATCCCAAGAAGTGAGCCTTTCATCCCAGGGAGTGATGGCAGAAAGCAGAAAGATATATAAGACGTGAAAATCAGAAACTAGCAGCATTTGGCTGGTTAAGCTTTTAGGCTTTTGAGCAACAGTTGAGCTGAGAGCCATTCAGATGAGGACTCAGAGGCATCCAGTCTGAGGAAACAGGATCAGCTGAGGAATTGTCAAGGTGAGATAGCTGTGGCTTGTTCTGTTTCTCTGATCTTCCAGCTTCACCCCAATACCTGGCACCAGGTTTGATTTTATTAATAAGAACTTTTAAGATTGGTGCTACATCTGATGCCCAATGTTTGTGGTATGAAAAAGCTGCTTGCCTGTGACCTTTCGGCCCAGAGCTCAGACCTAAGCTACACATTGCTGGTTGTGGTGGCATATGCTGGTAGGATTTACTGAGGGAGGCAGAGGCAGGAGGATCCCAAGTTTGAGGCCAGTCTAGGAGGCTTGGGAGAAGCTTCTGCCCAGACCGAACCACAAACAGTGGTGGGATCATGGAGGCAGAGGCTGCTGCTCTGAGTTGCTGGCTGCTTCTCATCATGTTGGTGACTGCGGTGATGCTGCTACCTGGGATTAAGTGTTTGCGAAGACCATCATGTTACAAGAAAGCATCGGCAAAGGTCAATTTGAAAAAGTTTGGCAAGACAAATGGTGGGGAGAAATTGCTGTGAAGATATTCTCTTCTAGGGAAGAACATTTATAGTTCTGAGAGACAGACCTTTATCAGACTGTGTTTGTTCCAAACCACAGAGGAGGCACATACAAAAAAAAAAAATTCTTTAGGGAGCCATGACCACATCTAACAGCAACTTTGAAATCTTAAAAAGAATGACATATCCCACAATGATGATTCCATATGGACTATAATAAAGCCATTAAGCTGATTAACACTACCAAAATATCGACTTTGGACTATAAACTACTCAGGACAATTTTGAGATGGCTAACTGAGATGATCCAGCCTGACAGACTACTTGAACAAGGACTTGAAACAAGCAATGCACTTTCTCATTGTGCAGCAACTAGGCAAATGATACCAGACTTGAGAACCCCAACATTTTCTTTTCAGGATTCCCTAAAGATGTCTTCACCCCCAGAATGCCGGAAGTAATTTTAAGAAAATGACGCCCATGTTCCCAAGAGGGGGGATGGGAGGTTTTTAGTCGTTTAATGAGTTTTGGATATTGTCATTGTTTATGATGGTTGGTTACAAGTTGTTAATTGTTAATGGTCAGGAAAAAAGCTGAACAAGCAGATTAGATTCAGAGTTTTTGTTTAAAAAAAGAAAAAGGAAAAGGAAAAAGAGAATATAGATATGAGGTAGATCACTGAATCTACTCTGAAAAAAAAGATAAAGAAATAATAGGATAAATGGGTAGATCATTGAATCTACACTAAAAAGAAGGGGAAGATATAAAAATGACAAAAGGCAGATTATTGAAATTTTGTGAAAAAAAGAGAGAATATGAATATGATAAGATAAAAAGGTCAATTTTTGAATCTACTTTTAAAAAGGAACTACTTTTAAATAGGATAAGTAATGAAATTTTTTTGTCTGAGTTTATCAAATGTTACTGGACTGGACATTGTTATATATTAATGGAGTTATTCATCTGAATCTTTCAAATGTTAATGGACTAGACATCGTTAATGTAATTCTTGAATGTATATATTGTATATACTTATTGGATATAGTTTTTCTTGTATTAGTTATAAGATTTTTTTTTAATTTTAGACAAAAAAAGGGGAAATGTGGTGGTATTGTGTTCCCAAAATATTGTACACTCTAATAAACTTATCTGGGGTCAGAGAAGAGAACAGCCACAATATTAAACATAAAGGTTAGGTAGTGGTAGCACACGCCTTTTATCCTAGCATTCCAGAGGCAGAAATTTGTCTGGATCTCTGTGAGTTCAGGGCCACAAGGATACAGCTAAGCATGGTGACACACGCCTTTAATCCCAGAAAGTGAGCCTTTAATCCCAGGGAGTGATGGCAGAAAGCAGAAAGACATATAAGGCATGAAGACCAGAAACTAGAAGTATTTGGCTGGTTAAGCTTTCAGGCTTTCAAGCAGCAGTTCAGCTGAGATTCATTCTGGATGAGGACTCAGAGGTATCCAGCCTGAGGAAACAGGATCAGCTGAAGAATTGGCAAAGTGAGGCAGCTGTGGCTTGTTCTGCTTCTCTGATCTTCCAGCATTCACCCCAATAACTGGCCTCAGGTTTGATTTTATTAATAAGACCTTCTAAGATTCCTACTACACACATCTAGACTCATGGGGGAAGAAACAAATATACTTCCCATATAGCTCTTTGTCTAATCTACTAATGCCTATATGTTTGTATTTGTGATGTTTCCAGTATCACAGAGGGGTACTGTGGGATGTTTTCTATGCTGTGAACGTGTTACTCTGATTGGTTAATAAATACTGAATGGCCATTATCCAGGCAGAAAATATAGGTGGGACAGAGAGAGGAGAATTCTGGGAGGATGAAGGCTGAGACAGAGAGATGCTGCCAGCCGCCATGATGAGAAACAGATGTAAAGATACCGGTAAGCCACATAGAAATGGATTAATTTATTATAGAAGAACTAGATAGCAAGAAGCCTGCCACGGTCATACAGTTTGTAAGCAATATAAGTCTCTGTGTGTTTACTCAGTTGGGTCTGAGCAACTGTGGGACTGGTGAGTGAGAGAGATTTGTCCTGACTGTAGGCCAGGCAGGACTGGAGAAAACTTCAGCTACAGAGGGGAATGGAAACCTCTACTAGACTTAGATCCAAGGGCATTGTATAAATGCTAGTGCAAAATCACTAGGCTGAAACTTTCAAATAAATGAGTTCATGATCCTCAAAACTATAAAGGAATGCAAAATTCAGGAAATAAGTAATTATTAAATCAGATGTGGAAAAACAAAAGTTGAAATTAGAAATTATTCAACTATACACACACACATACATACACATATATACATATACATATACCCATACATATGTATATATCTATCTGTCTTAGTTAGGGTTTTATTGCTGTGAAGAGATACCATGACCACAGAAACTCTTATAAAGGAAAACATTTAATTGGTACTGGTTTACAGCTTCAGAGGTTTAGTCCATTATCATCACAGCAGGAAACATGGTAGCATGCAGGCAAGCATGGTCCTGGAGAAGGAGATGAGAGTTCTACATCTTGATCTGTAGGCAGCAGGAAGTGTACTGTCACACTGGGCATGGCTTGAGCATGTATGAGACCTTAAAGCCTGCCTACACAGAGACACACTTCTTCCAACAAGGCCATACCTACTCTTACAATGCCACACCTCCTAATAGTGCCACTCTTTATGGGCCAAGCATTCAAACACATAGTCTATGGGGGTCATACCTATTCAAACCACCATACCATCTCTGTCTCTCTCTCTTTCTCTCTCTCTCTCTCTCTCTCTCTCTCTCTCTCTCTCTCTCTCTCTCTCTCATATATATGTGTGTGTGTGTGTGTGTGTGTGTGTGTGTGTGTATGTATGTATATATACAAGAAAATAAAACCGAATGTTAAAATATTATAATCTAGAAATGGGCAAAGAGAAAATTACTAAACTGGGGAATAATATTGAAGAATTCATCTAAAATAAAGTACATAGAGCCAGAGATTAAAGTACATGAAAATAAAAAGAAAACAGAGCAGCATCAAGACCTAAAAATTTAGATGCACAAAGGAAATATTTAAAAAACTTATTTAGAGATAATTCCAGAACTAAAAATAGACATGGAATAGATTAAACTAGTTACATGGGTTATAATGTTTAAATTGTTGCATGAAAAGTAGCAAAACTGTTAGGAAACAGAATAAGAGAAATATCTTCACAACTTTGGGATAGGCAATAGGTCTTAGGGGAAAAAAACTAAGAAGTACTGTAATCTGGACTATAATAAAATTCCCTTCATTCATAGATAATTAAGAAAATGGTAAAGCAAGAAATAAAACAGCTCATATATTTGCAGCAAATGTAAATCATAAATAATTTTCATCTAATATGACAATTTAAAATTTTACTGCCACTCAATAAGAAATAGCCATTTTTACAAGAATAGATAAAGAACTTATGGATTTTAGTACATATGTCAGTTTAATATTTTCACGTGTTGCCACTATGAGGAAAAAACTAGTAATAGAAGCAGAAAAAAACTAGATAATACATTTTTAGATTTAGAAAAATATATGAATGTAAAACAAGACAAGATTGTAAGGATATACTTCTAAATGTGTACGATGACCATTTCTGGGAAATGCAATTACTAGTGACTTTTTGTCTTCTTTTTAAATAATTTTATATTATAATCATATATGTTTTTATAGTAACAAAATATATCTTTTCAAAACAGAATGAATATAAATTAAGAAAAGCCCCATTGTCCTTCCTGAATCGTGAAGGTTTGTCAGTGTGCTAGAGGTGTGGGAACTGAACCTTATACAGAGAGATATTGTAGATTGGCAGCCCCTCCATCACATCCTTCTTCATCATTAGTTTCTAATTATACCAGATTGAATATTTCTTGCTGTGGCTAACATTATTGTTACTAAAACAATATTTCTTGCTATGTGTCTTCTAGGACCCTGTGTTTTCCAACTCTTTTTCAAAGTTCAATTTGACCTTGTGACTTGATATATCACCGTTACTTTTTGGTGAAATTTGCTACATAATCTTCCATTTGGTAAGGTACACAGGAGATCACACACATATTGAGGCTGAAATTCTATCAGCTTTACTCTCTAAACATCTACAATTAGCAGAACACCTCTGCTGGCCCATGCTGGAAATGTAGCATGAGTTAAAAATAAACCTTTGATATCTTACACTGAGATTTAGGAGTTGTTTGTTACTACAGCACACATTAGCCTACCATCATTGAAATTCTTTCTTTTCTGATTCTTGAAGGAGTCATACCAAATTCTAGCTGTGTTCCTCTCAAAACCGCATGTGCTGGGATTGTGCCACCCAAATTCAGAGCGGGTGTCCCCTTATTTGTTAATTCTTTCTGGAAACAGCCTCACACCCAGATACATGTTTCCATGGTGATTCTAAATCTCATCAATTGACAATGAAGATTATCAAATCAACTGTCTTAGTTTCATTTCTGTTGCTGTGACAAAATATCTAGACAAAAAAGCAGCGTGGGGGAGAAGGAGTTCTGCTTCACCTTACAATTCCAGCATTGCAGGGGATTCACAGTGGCAAGAATTTGAAGCAGCTAGTTATAATGTACTACAAAGTTAAGGGCAGAAACAAAAAAATGTGTGCATGCTCACTTGATTGTTTATGCTCAGCTCAATTTCTCCAATTTTATACAGTTCAGGAACCCCTGCCTATAGAATGGACTGCCAACAGTGGGCTGGATTTTTCTACCTCAATTAACTTAAGAAAACTTCCTCCTCAAGCAGGCCCATAGGCCAACATAATATAGACAATTCTTCACTGAGACTTTATTCCAAGGTTACATCTATTCCTAGGCTGCATCAAGTTGACAATTAAATCTAACCATCACACCATTGATGTAATCGCTACATGAATAAATGTAGAACATGTTGTATGGCAGTAATAAACCACATTATTAGGGCATTCAGACACAGAGATGGGGAAATATACATCAAGTGACCATCAAATATATATCAAGTGAACATCTCTTTATGAATGTATAGGGCCAGTGTCAGCAGAATATGACATGAATCTACCTAATACTGATAAGAAATATTTCATAAAATGACAGAAAGCACATTGGCTCAGGGACCAGGAGACAGTCTATTGTCCCAAGTTGTAGGAAGCACAAATGTTCTTGTGCTCACAGATAAGCACTAGGGAACCTGGAATGAAACACACAGGAAGGTTTATTCCTTCAAATGAAGGAATGCATAATCTGTTATCCACCCAGAAGGCTGGAAGTGGTAGGCACAGTTAATAGACTGGTGACCAGAGACCTCACTGGACCCTCCCCAGACCCTTATTGTGAGCTTGTTTTTCTCAATTTATAAAGCCTATCTTTATGGAAGATGTCACATGTACTTTACAAAGAGTTTCATTGTAATCACGACCAATCTTTATTTAGCTTACTTTGTATTTTATTGTGTGCACTGGATTGAGTAAAGTATCACCTGAAAAAAAATTAAACAAGTTATACTGAGCTTAAATATGCCTGAAATGAACTACTTGAGGTCAGACTCCCAAAATTTGATCCAACCAACACTAGCTACTTAAATCATGTTGAAGATAACTGCCTTCTTGTCTCCCATGGACT